AGCGCCGCAGCGCGTCCCGAGCAAGCAAAGCTTCGAGGGAGGCAGCCGCCGCCGCCGCCGCCGCCGCCGCCGCCGCCGCCTCCGGTGTCAAGGGCAAAGAGGCCGCCGCCGCGCGGGGAAGCGGGGGGCAGCGGCAGCAGCAACGGGAAGACGGGCCGGACGACGAGACTCGGGCGGAGCTCGTCCGGGGCGCCCTGGACTCGTTGTGCGCGGCGTGGGAGAACCTGGCGGAGGCGAAGGTTACGCTTGACCGGCGCTCCAGCGCCGCGGTCGTCGCCGTCGCCGACGGCGACGGCGACGGCGACAGCCAGAACGAGGAGGAGGACCGGCATGATGACGATGATGGCGAGGGGCAAGAGGCGTGGGCGGCAGCGGCGGCGACTACAGGCGATGGTCCGAGCGAGGGCGGCAGCGGCGGCGGAGGAGGGGGAGGAGGAGGAGGAGGAGCGCAGGCCGCCGCTCGCCGATGGCGGCGGCGGCAGGACGACCGAGCGGAGGAGCTGGGGCCGCTGTGGAAGGGCTCCCTTAGCGAGGCCCTCGCGCGGGATTCCCGAGATGCCGCCGCCGCCGCCGCAGACGGCGACGTGATGGGACGCTTGGCTTGGACTCGCGCAGCTCGCCGGCAGCTCGAGGCGCGACGCGCGGAGCTCTTCGAGCTCTGTGGAGACGTCGCCCACGCCTGCGTCTCGCTTCGCGCGAAAGCGGTCGGGGTAGGGATTGCAGCAGCAGCAGCAGCGGCAGCAGCAGGACCGTCTACGGGTGAGGGTGGGAGCAAGGAGGCACAGAGAGGCCTCTCGGCCCGACTGCAGGAGCTCTTGTCCTCCGCCAGCCCCCCCTTGGTGCTGGGAGACCTGAACGTCTGCGGAGGCCTGCACGGCCGAGTCTGGGAGACCCTTACCGCGGAAGGCGGAGACGACCCTCGGCCGCTGGCCGAGACCTGTATCCACTCCCTCGCCAGGGAGGGCCGCGCCCCGGGGGACCCGACGGCGTGGTCGCTCTGCCTGGCGGCAGAGGCCTGCTACGACCGAGCTCTCCTCGGCCTGGACAAGGTCGTTGCGGGCGTGCTCGATTATCGCCACCCGGGTGGCGGCATCGGTGCGACCACCGCCGGTGCGGTCACCGCCGGCGGCGGCGGCGGTAAGGTGAACGCGGGAAACGCCTCCTTTGTCAGCGGCGTGCCCGAAGCGCGGGCAAGGATCCGGAAGAAGCTGGGGGACGCGTCCAACGAGCTCGGGAAGCTGATGGCGCAGTGCGCCGGTGTCCTCGTCCAGGCACCGCCGCCGCCGCCGCCGTCGCCGCCCCACTCTGAGGCTCTCGACGCGAAAGAAGGAGGAGAACGACCCGCCGCCGCCTCCTCTTCCTCCCGCCTGGCGCCGGCGGGGGCGGCCGCGAAGCAGCAACCGCCGGTCCACCCGGGGCTGGGGTGTGCTGTCTGCGTCGCCTCCGCCGACGCGTGGTTCCGGCGCAGCCTGGCACAGTTCAGGGCGATCGGCGACGCGAGGAATGTCGCTCTCCTGCTGTGCAACCTCGCCAGCGTGGAGAGACTGAAGCCGCGAGCTCTGGCCCGACTCGGGGACGCGTGCCCGCGCCCAGCAGGGACGACGGGTCGGTTGACGGTGCCGGGAGGGGCATCGGGGAGCGGCGGCAGCGGCGGCAGCGGCGGAGGCGGTGGTCGCGGCAAGAGCGGCGACCGCCCCATCGCCGGGAAGGGCGGGGGCTCAGGACATCTTCGGGGTAGGTCGAGGAAGGGGGAGGGGGGGGGGGGGGGCGTATGATGCGTACCATCGGACGAGGATGTCTAGTTTTCTAAACGGAAAAAATGTTTGGTTTGGTTTCGGTCTTCCCCTGATTTATATGACGTGCTTGTTTGTTTTGTTTCGTCGGCCGATTTCGTCGAGGCCTTCCTCCTTGGCTTGGCTCAACACCCTTTTGACCTGCTGCAGCCTTGACCTTTGTCCCTGCGGAGACTTCAGGCCTCGGTGCGATGTTTTTCCCCGCTCTCTGCGTTTGTGTAGATGTCTCGGCGGCCAATGGTGCTCAAATCTCCGCGCTACAACCTGGAGTTGCGATTCTCGCTTGCCTTTTTTGCCACCAAATACGGACACCGAGATATTTCTCAGCAAGACCCCCGACCGCTGCTAACCTCAATAGACCAACCAAACTCGCACGCATTTCTTTGAGGATATTAGCAACGTTTTATCTGCCTGTCGCCTTGCGCACCATCCGCCGACTTGTGCCCCCCCCAAGCTCCGGGTCTTGACCATTTTTTTTACATTTTTCTTTTTGTCGGCCATCAGGCGCCGCCGCGGCCGTGGAGCTGTGCGGCGAGGCTCACTCTGCCTTGGGGCGACGCGACGAGGACGAGCGAACGTGGGACCATGCCAGCGCAGAGCTGGCCATGGCCTACTTGTGCCTCGGGGTAGAGCGAAGGTGTGTTACTGCAGTGTCGGTTTTATAAATGAGCATCGACCGCGCCAACCAGCTGGCCAATGCAAAAGACGTCAGCGCTATGATATATCAAAGTTCATGGAAGGGCGGCCAAAATTCGAAAAGTGCGAAAGGAGCTAGCTGAGTGTGAACGCCGAAAACTGAATCCATCTACAAAATCTTTGCTGAGAGACGCGCACACCAAAAGGTAGCTGCTGCGTCGTACTTGCTGTGTACCAAGCGGAACCATATCGCACGGTCGAGGGAGAGGGACGTACGGTCGGTCATCCCAGGGTCGGGTTAGCCGCAGAGCCAGCGGTGAGGGCGTCAACTGCTGTACCTTCGTCGCGGGCGCACGAACTAATTGATGCGACCGGCGGTCGGCATATTGGCAGAGACACCTACGGATCAAGATGACTACTTCTCGTTGCGTGACGTAAGTCACGAAAAGGCAGGCGGACCGTTGCGGGATATCTTGAGTTTTTCGGGTAGGGGCCCGAGGGGCGTGATTTGTCCTTGTTTTTCTCGCCGGACGGGTATAAAGATCGCGCGCCAGCGTTCGGATTTGAGCCCGCTAGATTCGCGACAGGGATATGTGGCACGAACTTCATCCCCAGTCTCGAAATGAATTGCAACCCCAACAACAACCCCAGCAGCAGCAAAATCAGCAGTGATGACCATCAAGCCAAAACAACCACCGCAACCATCGTTCAACAGTCAAGCCCTCCCCCCTCCCCCCCGGCATCTTCCACCCCTTGGCTTCCAGGCAAGAGCTGTTGGGGGCACTGCTGCAGGCGGGCGAGGCCACCGAGGGGGAGAGGCGGCCGTCGGCCCGGCCGTCGGCGACGGCGCCGCCGGGACCTTCCGTCCCCACCGCCGCGCAAGCCAGGGGCGTGGTGAGGCCGCTGGAGCAAGCCCTCCGGATCTACACGGACATGAAGAACGCCCCGCAGGCGGCTGCGTGCCACTACCAGGTAGTGGTTGTTATTTGGCTGCCCTACGTGTGACGAACGAGCCGCAAGAATCAACCACTTATTATAATTGGTTTGGTTGGGCTGCTTCGTGTGACGAACGAGCGACAACGTACCAACCGTTCTTAAACTTGGTTTGGGCTGTTTCATGTGACATCTGAGCTACTCCGTATGTAAAAGTGCCAACCGCTTCTCAAGTTTGGCTTGGGCAAGTCAAATGTGTTGGGCTCACGAGCGACTACTACTGCTTACTGCTGTTGGGTGGGAAGTTTCTTGAGTGTGGCAATCCTTTTTCTTTCACGCTCTTTTTTCTCGCGCACCGAGAAACTGTGCACGTTTCGATGGTTGTCGTGTGTTGCACCGGAAGCACTGCAACGAATCAGTCCTTTCAACTATAACAGTGGCCTACTGAGACAGACCACAGCAGTCAGGTAGCTTCGTTGCCGGTAGTACATCCTGGTCCCACCCACCCGTCCGGACTCAAAACACCCCCCGATTCAAAATTCCCTCGTCGCCGCAGATCGGGCAGTACTACGCCAAGATCCTTCCGGTGTACGCCGCCGGAATCGACTCCGCAGCTTCGTGCGAGCCGACGACGACCAACGCTCCAGGACGTCGCGACGGCGGCGGCGGCGGCGGCGGCGGCGGCGGAGGGCCGTCGTCGGCCCTGCGGGTGGCCAAGGCGTGGGAGGCTGGGCAGCGGGCGGCGCGGCACTTCCTGGCCGCCCGTGCCTACTTCGCGCCTTTCGAGCACGGCCCTACCTCGGTCATCCTCGCGCTAGACCTCTGCAACCTCTACCTCCTCCTCGCGGAGATGGGAGGCGGCCCTGCTGCTGCTGCTGCCGCTGCCGCCGCCGCAGGCGGCAGCGGCGGGTCGGAATCTTGGTCTCACGATGGTGGTAGTGGTGTAGACGCCGCCGCCGTCCCCATCCCTTCCGTTGCGGGGGGTGACGCCACCGAGGCGGGGGGGGGTCATCGGCTCCGGCCTACCGCGGCCGCGCGGTTTCGTTGCCTGGAGGGGGCTCTCCGGTGTCTCCTGGACACGAGGGCCGCGTTCGCGGACGCCGGGGTTGATATCAAGATGGCGGCCGGTGAGGCGGCAGGCCAACAGCAGCAGCAGCAGCAGCAGGAGCGCTTGAGAAGGCTGCTGGAGTCAGTGACGGGGTGTCTCCCGAAGGTGATGCAGGCACTCGTTCGTGCATCGGTCGCCATCGAATCGTCGTCGTCGTCGTCGCCTTCGCCTTCGCCACCTGCTACCGCTGCTGCTACGGCCGCGTTCAAGTCCATGTACAAGAGGAGTCTTACGGCCACGAGGGGCGGCGGGGAAGGCGCGCAGGCGATGCTCGCCGGGTTGGCCGTCGAGTACGGGGCGGTGGTGACAAGCTAGGGAGGCGATATTTTTTGGTACAACAGCGGATCTGAGGATTTGACTCAAGCTCTGTAGGGTGAATTTGATGACGGCGTGTTTGTGTTCCACGTAGGTGGTGCCCGTAGGGGTGCTGGTAACGGATCTGAGGGTTTGACTCAAGCCCTGTCGGAAAATTGATTGTATGTGTGCCCGTCTACCGATAAGCATGATCGATGACAGACAGCAGCGTGTGGTAGGCTGTGAATAGAGGAAGCAAGTGGTACACGCGCGGCGTTAACAAGAGTAGCGGCATCCATGTTCTGGTCTGCTTCCTCCCCTCCCAAGCTTCCGTTCTCGGGAAATACATCCCCCCCCGTCTTCTAGCCTTTGATTCAGCCACCACGGTAACATACATGGGGGTCCGAACGTTTAGTCACTAATGTCGGGGATTTCACACCCGACACGGAGGTGGCCAAAATGCCCTTGAACCCAACGCCTCCGCACACACACACCCTGCCCCCCCTTCGCAGCTTGGCTTGGTGCCGGCCTGTCTCAAAGGCCTCTCTCTGCACTGCCATGTGCACGAAAATGAGTAAAATCTTGACTTGGTGTCCCAAAGGCCTCTCTCTGCATCTCGCCACGACCACGGCAACAAGTAAAAACAAAACACCCCGAGTAAACCGACCCATTTTCCAATTCACCCGAACCTAATCTGACTATTATACCTAAAAACATGGCACAACCTGCCGAAGCTTACTCGACCCAAGCACCAAAACGCCTTCCTTACGATCAACACACCGAAAAGATAAAACTTTTTCCTACCAACAAATAATCCACTTTGGCGAACACCCTCATTCCCCCCCCAAAAGAAAGGGTTCTGATTAGCACCAGGCACAATAACGCAGTATGAAATCGAAGCTGTGTGATTGGACGATGTTCACCGTCCTGGATGAAAGTACAGAAAGATGAGTGGACTTGACATCAGGCAAAAATCTCGTATCAACTGTCCCCAATGACAGTCGTGTCGAACGGGTGGTTGGGGGTTCGATACGGGGGAGTGGCGTCCAAAATGTGGTTGAAACAGGTGGGGT